GTGGAACTCACTGGTTCTCGTGCTTTGCAGGTCCATGTTGGCAACGAGGAGTTCCTGCACCTGCGGGTGTTCCAGAGTCTTCCTCAGGAGAACAAGCCGCTGAGTCTCCACAGTTACCAGAGCAGCAAGAAGAAGCATGATGAACTGGCTTATTTCTAGTGAGCTCAGCTGGGCTGTTTTCCTCCTGGTTCCTTATGTGCATTTTCTATAGGCTGCAGGGTGTTGATTCCTGTGCCAGCAAAAGGAGAAAAGAAAGTGTCTTTTTTTTAAACTTAAAAATTGCTTTTATGCCATTCCCTTCCTGTGCAATATCTAGATTTTAGAGTCTCCTTTCACTTTTGCTGATGCAAAGCCAAGTAGCTGCGCTGACTTCAGTGCAACTGAACCAAAATACTGTGGCTGAGTCCAGTTTGTGGACTTCCTTGGGCTGGAAATGGAAAGGGGAGTGACACTGCCACTTGGGTGTTTGCAGCAAGGAGCAAGAGGAAAAACCTGAGGCTTTTCTCTGCTGTTTTGCAACTGTGAATATATCTGTAGATTGAAATCGTACTACAGATTTTATTGGCAAAGACCTGAAGAGGGGCTTGAGCTGAAGTGATTTTGAAAGCAAGAGGAGGATTTTAGTCTTTTGAAACAAACATTCCCTTAGTGATCATGTTTATCCTCTTGCAGCAGTAGGATATAATGTCCAGTAGAGGGTGCAGAAGTTTTAAAAAAAAAACCTCAACAACTTGCCTATTTTCTCAGTCCTAAGAAAAAGTCCTGGAAAGGAACTTAAGCTGGACAAGCATTTCTGCATTAATAACAATAAATATTTCTCTTGAGATGGTATATTTGACTGGTATTTCACTGTTCTCTTTACTGGTTTTCAATAGTAGTTATGTTGCTCAGAATCCTTTTCTGTGAGTGTTTTTCATGTTCCCGATAACCTTATGTTCATTCTGTGTTGTAATTAGGAATACTTTATTTTAATCTGGTGCAGGACAGGAAAGGCAACAAGGAAGGCTCCAGCAGCAAGCAAGGAACACTAAGGAAAACTGTGAGCCCCCTGTGCTCGGGGCACAGAAAAGCCTGAGGCACTCAGCGCTGCCTTTGGCTCAGCCTTTCCTGGTAGGACTTACCTTTGGGAATTTGAGGTCCCTAAGATGAGCAGGAGAGTCTGGAGGAAGGGAGACTTCCCCCAGCAGAGCTGGATCTGTCGAGGGGAACACTTAAACTGGACTGAGCCAATGCCATGGGACTTGAGGGGAGGTATCCATGGATGCTTAGGGAGCTGGCCAGTGTCATTGCAAGGCCACCCTTTGAAAGGTCATGGGCATCAGGGGAGAACTGGAAGAAAGAAAATGTCACTCCTATGTTCAGGAAGGGCGAGAAGGAAAATCTGGAGGCCCCAACGTGAGCAGCTGCTAACAGGAAAGTATTTTTGTGGATTGGGCTTCCCTCAACCTTTGTGACCTGTCAATGCTCAGTTCAAGACTGCTCTCATTGCACGTGGCTGATGCTACCAAGAAAAAAAAAAAGTTTTGCCTGCAGAGGATGCCTGACAGTGTTTCGGAACGAGGATCTGACATGGGTATGGTCGAGTACCTCAGGTGCCAGAAACAGCCCTGAGCAGCATTTCAGAGCCTACTCGAGCTTTAGCCAGGCAGCAGACTGGGACATGACACGCAGGACATCAACAAACAGCTTTCAACACTTATTTTATTTCCATGCATTTACTGACACAGGCAGAATCCACATGGGACTCTTGCAGAAGCGAGGCACTATTCCTCCGTGGCTCTCACAGAGGATCATCTCTGGTTTTGCCAGTCTCAAAACCCTCAAGTGTGGGACCTTGGTTTTCTTGAGGAAGGCGCACATACACCCTTAAGTGGACATAGTCATCATCAGCAACTTGGACCTAGAAACCAAAACAGCGGGCATGTGAGTATCAGGAGTTCAAAGCAGGTTCGAACAAAATGATGCTCTGTCCATACTTGGAGGAATATCTTTGCTCAGGAGCTTAATTTTAGGTGTATCTCCATTTTTACTTCAACAGCTCTTAACCCAAGTCTGGACAGTAACTGGTGGCAGATGATGTCTACACCTGAAGAGCACTGTAGCATAAACCTTGAGACTGTGAATGGAAAATGGGTAGGACCGCTTGGGTGTGGAAGCACCAGAGGGCACAACAACAGGAGAAGGGTCTTGATGGCATCCTATTTAGGTCATCAAGATCCCAGCACATCAGCTGACAGCTTCCTGGGCCACTCAGAGTAGGAGACAACAGACAGGGAGTAAATCTTAATGACTCAGGGGTGGGGCAAGATGCAGAGATTGCCAGCACCTAGAAGGTAGAGAAAGGTCTATCCAAAACCAGCACATGCAACAACAACCTGACAGCATCCCTGGTCTTCAGACTCACTGCAGACACATCAGTGCCCAAACAGACAACTTGACAGGTCTTGGTGCTTGGGGTGCGCGCGAGTGGCTGAAATTATTTTTAAAATAAGTTCTCCTTCCCCTCCAGCAACTCCTCAGCCTTGCTAAGAAGTTGTGCGTGATTTCCTACGCACCGAGCCGAGCCCAGCAGGTGCTGCACCCTCGCTGTGTGAGACACGTGGTGGTCAGGGAGAGCTGAGTGCCTCAGGCTCCAAGAGGTTTCCACGTGCTTTCTGGTGGCACCGTGTTTGTCTTGGTCTGGATTACATCTCAGCGATAAGCTGTTGGTAAAATACTAGTGCTACGGAAAATCCAGCAGTATAAAAGAATGACTTTTGTGACAGAGCTCATTCCAGTTAATGCTACAGGGAATAACTGTTTCCTGTCACTTGCAAGATTGGGAAAGAAGACAGGTCATCCATTTTCATAAATGGATTTCTTCCAACTTGAAGACTGGAACAGGTTGCCCAGAGAGGTGGTGGATGCTCCATCCCTGGAGACGTTCAAGGCCCGGTTGGACGAGGCCCTGAGCAACCTGATCTAGTTGGAGATATCCCTGTTCCTTGCAGGGGGGTTGGACTAGATGATCTTTGAAGGTCCCTTCCAGCCCTAACCATTCTATGATTCTATGATTCTATGAACTTTGGTAACGTGTCAATCTTCATTTCGGACTAGTTTGGTCACGAGGCTTAGCACGGACAGCAGACAAGGATTTTACAGAAGGTGGCACTCAGGGAAGAAATGCAACTGGGTGTAGAGACTTCTGGCTTTACTGCAGCCTTCCTGGAAATTGTTACCTTTCCTTACTCCGGACCGTGGCCACAAAGTGAAACCACATCTCACAGGAGCAAGGGAAGGCTAAACACCATTCACATAAGACTCAGACCAGCCATATAACAGGTGGTCTGTCAGTAGGATCCCCTGGTGCCCACAGAGCAGAAATAACCGATAAGGGCTATTTTAAGGAAAAACCTGGGAAATGAGAAGGTTTGGTGATGTCTGTCCTTCCTGGCTCAAGTAAATATGAGAAGCATGGAGCAAATGCTCGTAGTGGCTCTGCAGAATTGCTATTCCCCCAAACCCTACCTGCCGATTTCTTTATTAAAAAGATTCGGACCCCCGTCAAAGGAGCATATCCTACCAGGTGTATGTCTGTGCATCTGGAGATAGTCCCCAACTGTTAGTCACATCAGATGGTTTTCTACTATGTTTGCTGCTCTTTTTTTGCTGTAAGCCACTACGCAAGTCACTCATATTGTTTAACTACAAAGCACCCCCTCCTATAATATATACAAACCTTAATATAGTAGTTCATCCCAGCAACCACCTGAGACCTATATTGTATGGCTCTAAAGATGTCATATGTCTTGTTTAGCTTGCTTTCAAGTTGGGGCTTCACCTGTAAAAAGAAGGGGAAAATGGTTGGCAAGATCATATTTAGGCTTTTCTTTCACATCTACCGCCCCTGTTTTCATCCTTTCAAACACAGGTTCTTAATGAAATAAACTCAGAACCCCCAAAATAATTCAATTTACACCAAGACCTCCAGCCCTCTTGCCTAGCATTGCCTCCAGCATTCTTTGAAGTCCTGTTAGAAGTAGACTTCTTAGTTGTTTTCCCCCCACCCCAGCAGCTGTCCAGCTAAACTCTGCTGCTCAGTACAGGGAAACTGCTGCCTGGTGCCCTTTTAATTCTTTGTCGAAGTAGCTACGTACCCAGCCATGCCCCCAGCAAGGAACACCCCATGTCCACCACGCTGTTACACAGCAGTGTAAGTCAGCCCCCCTCGCCTGGGACACCCGTGCCCACGCCAGGGAGCCGGGGAGGCTGCAGACCCCTGTTGGATTTGACAGCCTCAGCGCTGCGCTCGATCTGTTTAATGTTTTTCTTTAAGGACTTGCAATAAAAAAGGCTATTTCAGAGTATCCAGACAACCACCTGACCAAGTAGGTCCTGAAAGTTACTCTAAGCGCTGGAGGAAGCCCTGCAGCTAAAGGTGTAATTTAAACTAAACATGCCCTTCAATCATACAACATACAAACAACTGCAATAGTTACAATGGCCCAGGACTAAACCATGTACTTCCAGCTCCAAAACCTTTCAACTGCGAGCCAGAAATCAACCCCAGACCTGCATAAACATTGTCAGTCTTTCACTGTGTAGTAGCTGCAGGTAACGTGGTTCCAGCAGAAACAACGCTCTGTGCTGACAGCGCTCACACTCACAGCTCAGGCAGACGTGACTGTGCACAGCACTCACTGTAAGCCCTGTGGGTCTTAAAATACGCACAGTTCAGGTATCTACAGACCTTTCACGTACAAAAAAAATGAAAAAAAAGAAAAAAAAAGGGTGTAACAGTTTTTCCCTTAAACACACAAAGTGCTGTGAGCAGCAGTGGCAGCCTGGCAGGTGTCTGAGCAGCGTGAGTGATGGACCAGGGGGACCGTGTCCTGCCACAGTCGATGGCATCTGATGACACGAATTCCCTACGGAAAAGGCAACCGCAGCGAAGGCAACCCGAAAACTTGTCTCTGTCATCTAAGAAGCATCAAGTGTCCTTTGCAGGCTGGGTGACAGCTCTGCTCTGTACCTGGCACCCGTGTCGATGGGAGGGGCTGGCAGCACGTCGGGGCTGATCACCACCTGCCTGCTCCCAGAAAGGTGCAGAATCCATCTGCTTTCTCAGCACATCCCCCTCCAGCTGGGCACCGCTCCCACGGCACTCCTTCCCGGCAGGCAGGTCCCAGAAAGCACCCGAGTGACATCCAGATCAATCATTTTCAGACAGGCAGAATTACCCAATGCCTTCAGTTCATCATATTCAGACTCCTTGGAATCTCTCCCTCTGCTCTTCTTCCAAGCACCTTCCACGGGGCTTCTGTCCCCGGGAACCAACAGCTTATACCTTCAACTTGGGAGCTGCTAACTCTCAGCAAACCAGGGAAACTTCAATTTCCAACCCTCCTCCAGCTGGATGAGTTTGAGGGCTCCTGGGATGCTCCTAAGTGGTAACTTTTGGCACCTATTATTCCTCTCTCAGAACAGAACAAAACAAAGCCAGTTCTCTCCATCTTCATGATCTCTCCCAACCTCTGACCACTACATCCCCCATTCATTATTTATGGACAGAGCCTTCAGTAAAATCAGGCAGGCAGCTCCTTAATCCTCAGATGGAAAATTCTAACATTTCTAACCTCTTACCTAGCAGTTGCTTAAACCCAAAACATTCCTCCGTTTTAGGCAAGAGCTGCAAGACAAGGAGACTGAATAAATAACATTCCCCAGCTCACTAAGGATGACTACAGACAAGGCACAGGTGTAAGAAAATAATCACGTAGACCAAAGAGCAGGTAGACCTTGGCCATCCCAAGGTCTGCAGATGCTCTTCACAGCGTCACTCAAATCATACGAATTGCTCCGTCTCTTAGCAGAGCGTAAAATCCCGCAGAATTGCAGCATGAAAGGGTGACACTGGAACACAAGGTTTGTCTTCACAAGACTATTTTCCTTAGAGACCTTCACCAAAGCCTCTGCAGGGAAGTGTGAGCTTTTTCAAAGGAAAAGGACGAGGGCGAGTTCCCTCTCCCGCGTCAGCACAAGGCAAAAATTTCAGCTGGCAGAAAATAAAGAGCAAAAATTTGTTTTCATTTCCCTAAAGTTACTCAGTATGGGAGAACATCCAAATTAAGATCAGTCCTCTTCTGGAATTGAACAGAAAATCTGTACATCCACGTTTCAGATTCCATACCTGCCCTGTACTTTGTGAGCACCAGCACAGCCTGCACAAGCGTTCCCGTTTCCCAGTGCACGCTTGCTCGCCGACAGCGAAGCACCGTGGGTCCATCTCTGATGAACTCTGCAACAGGGCTGGATCTTTGGTCACCCACACACAGCCCAGCACCACAAACACAGCTCGGCATCCGGCACGCTACGCTGGCCCAGCCGTGTCCAAAGGAGGCCCTTAATGGATGTCACGGACCCAAATCTCACAGCCCCCAGCTGGCAGGAGACATACAGGAAGGTGCCACAGGTCCTTGCCCAGCGTCTCCCCTCCATAAGTCAAAGGGAATTTCTGATCTCTGCAAGTGCTGCTGCTTCAACCACTTGTGCCAGCATAGGAGGAACCGGGATCCTGCTCCTGAGCAATGCAGTGTCCTCCAAACAACTTCAGATAATCCTTTTCCCCGTTCCCTCCCCGCTGGCTAACCTGTTATCACATCCTCCAGCCCTCCCCCATGTTCCATGCCCAACTCTGGCAACCCCAGCTGTGACCGACCAGCACAGCCCCACCATGGCAGATGCTCAGAGGGGCTGCGCAAGGGCGACGCGCTCCGAGAACAAGGCGGGATGCCACTGACCACAGCTCTTGCAAAGAAGCTGACTTTATCTTGACACGGAGGCGACCAGGGGGTGTTTGTTTTAGATAAAGAGCGATGTCAGCTGAGTGGATCAACTGGTGGTGGAACTCCTGGAGTTCACTGCAAGAATGTGAATGCCTCCTTGAGTTAGCCAGATCAGCATGGGAGGAGTGAACACGTGGCTCTGCCCAACCCAGAGTATAAAACCAAAACAACAAACAAAAGAATTCCGAAGAGAACAGCAGGCTGGAGCTGGCTTCAACCCCCACACTCCTTCCTGGCGACTGAGGATGCCCAGTGTGGCGACAGCAAGCACAGACCAGTACTGGAGAACACACTGGTATTGTGATTGAACCATGTATTGCAAGTGAGAGTAACTTACGTTTGTGATGTGTTGCCACTGCTAAATCAGAAACCTCATGGAACATCAAATATCTTCAAATAAGTAAATCTGGTATTAACCATGATACCCTCCATGTGTGGAATACCTAAAAGAACCTGCTCAGAGAGTGCTGTGCTCTGGCATCAGCCTACCCAGCCTATTTCCAGATCCCTCCTGGTGGCTCTGCCCCTCCGCGTGCCCAGCTCACCTTAGTCTGGTTGCATCACTGCCTGCGAGATCTCAGGAGATGTGGAATGGTGCCAGCGCAAACTCTGTCCTCTGTGGCACAGCAAAGGAGGAGCTGGGAGCCCTGCACTCCCAGCAGCATTGGCCAACGTTTCAGCCCTGCTACTTCCTACTTTTGTTTCCTCAAGGAGGGCACAAGTTATGCTTTGTGCAGTCGCCAAAGGGGGAAGAGCTCATCTTTCAGAGCTGGGAGGGCGAAGGGATTGGTGGGGTGGGTGTGAAAACCGGACGGGAGACACAAAAGGAGCCTTCCCGTGTCATATTGTTCCCCTCCTGCTCCTCAGGATGTGGTTTATACTCAAATTTTAAGAGCTGCTGCACTGAAGGGCACTAGAGGATCTGCAGAGGTGCTGTGAACACAGCTGCTTCCAGGACAGGACCGCTGCCTGGAACCAACCACCACGGCAGCTGCGCTCACTGCCTGCCTTGTGCCAAGCTCACACTGCCCCACTGCCACACCACCAGCCCCTGCATCGCCGCTGTGACTAGAAACACCAGATGCCAGCAGAGAACATGACATTTACTCACAGCCTTGTCCTGTAGGTAGCTTTTTTTAGTGCATACTACCACGTGGTTTGACCTATCCACGTCCTTCAGTGAGGAATTAGTTCTACCACGTACAATCTTCTCCCTTCAAATACACCACCTGTCATTCCAAACAAGCAACCTCCGTGCTGGCATGGCAGAGCTGGTCTTCGACCTACAGGCTGGCATTAACTGAAGGTAGCCAGGACTGTGCCTGGCTATGGGCAAGGACGAGACAGAGGAGTGCTTTGTCTCCATCTTACCAGCACACTGCCTATGCAGAACGCTGAGAAAACACTGGCAATCCAGGGGATTCCCATTTTCAGCACTAGCTTCTTCGGTTTAAACACTGGTTTGGAATGCCCACCTGCTCTCCCAGTCTTTGCAGAAGCTTCAAGACTCAGCCCTCTGCACGCAGAGCCTTCATCTCCAGCCAGGTTGCAACTCACCTCGTCAGCGATATGCTGGACTTCTGGAGTAGCAGGCTCGGTGTCGGATAAGCCCCCAGGCATCATCGTGGCAGGTAACTTCTCCGAAACGATGGGAAGAGAACTTCTGAAGAGGGAAGTTGAGTGCAGTCTGAGCAGAGTCCCCAGGCATCTCATATATATACACATACATGTGTCATGGCATCACATGACCTGGAACACATGGAGCATACCATTATGGAATTGAAGAAGAAGAGAAATGGGAAAAACGGGAGAAAAGCAATGTAAAGCATTGATAATATTAATACTAAATGTAGAAAGGACTTTAAAATCTTAAGTGTACATAGTCTCCATGTCAGTAAGCAAAGCAAACAACAGCCCCCAGCCACCCACACTTTAAGATAGTTGGTTTGGGCTAAAACTAGAACCTCTTGCTTCCCCACCCATGTGCAGATGACTAGTCTGCAGGCTTAGCAAATGGATCAAAGTCACACCCAGTATTTCCCAACACCATTCCAGATCAGAAGCCAGCATCAGCAATTTCCCCACTGCGGGTCCCCTTCAACTTGACATTGTATTGGCTCAACATCCTTCCAAGTGGGAAACAGGAGCAAACTGTAATTTACTTCCAGTGACTTTACTTCCCTCTGCCTGACCAGAAAGGTGCCACGGTGAACACCTGAACCCAAAGGGGAAAAAATTAAATGCTAGGTTCAGCTAAGCACTGCAAATAAGTTATTTCTGCTTCTTTCCTACCAAGCCCGTAGTTGCATTCAGGCAATCATCACAACAACGGAACGTGCAGCACCATTTGCATTTTTACTGAAACTCTAGTGCCAATTTCCTGGAAGACGATCCGTCTGCCTCCAGTAGTTGTGTGGGCACAATAGCTGTGCTCATTCCAAGGTACGTGTATTTTACACCCTGCTGACACGTGCGACATGCAGAACACACAGTTGGAAGGATTGGCTCTGCAGTCAGAGTCACAGGCACGGCAGTCACATCCATGGCCACATAGGAACCTACAAAGCTCAACACACGTGCAAACTGCTGCTCACAGCCCCACTTGGCACAGAGAGCTAACGCTTCGAGATCACAGAACTACTTCCTCTCGGTGTAGTCCTTTCCAGTAATCATACAATCACAGAACGGTTTGGGTTGGAAGGGACCTCAAAGATCATCCAGCTCCAGCCCCCCTGCCATGGGCAGGGACACCCTCCACTACACCAGGTTGCCCAAAGCCTCATCCAATCTGGCCTTGAACACTTCCAGGGATGGGGCAGCCACAGCTTCTCTGGGCAACCTGTGCCAGTGCCTCACCACCCTCAGAGGGAAGAATTTCTTCCTTATATCTCATCGAAATCTCCCCTCTTCCAGTGTAAAGCCATTGCCCCGTGTCCTGTTACTACACACCCTTGTCCAAAGTCCCTCTCCAGCTTTCCCGTAGCACCTTTAGGTACTGGAAGGCTGCTGGAAGAATGTTATTCCAGAGCTAGGACCAGAGAAGCAGCAACGGCCCAGACAATTTTTAGTCCCCAGGGGTGGGTACATGGGAGGGGGTGAAATGAGAATATGTGCTGGACACAGGCAACGGGCATCTTGGCTGGAATGGGCACCAGGGAATTCACCAGCAACACGCCCGTTCCTGGCCACAGAACTGGTGGCTGCGTAGCACAGACTTGTCGGTGTCCTAACCAGCCTACCGACCCTCCTCGCAGGCAGCAAGTGATGCAACAGAGTGTAAACAAGTACTTCATACCTAACCTGAAGGCCTGTTCTTGGGACAAAGGGCCTGAGATTGAGAAACGGAGCCGTAAGGGCCCTAAACTCAACAGGATACAGAGCAAGCTAAGAGGATGTTACCAACGAGGATGTTGCAGAATTCCCAGCAGCAGCGTTGTGTGCATGAAAAGCATTTGGGGAAAAACAGTTGTCCTGAGACAACATCTTTCTGAAGAAAGATAAAAACATCCTCAGTTCTTGGGAATAAAGGGAGTGGGAAGTCTTAAAGCTGGAAGTCTGCCATTTCCTCCAAATTCACCGCTCCAGATGAGAAGATCCGCACGGCCCAGTTCATGGAGTTCATGACAGATCAAGTTGATGAGCTCTCGTCTTTTGCACAAGACCTCGCTGACTCACTCAACGCTGATCATCTTTCACCACGTCCCTACCATGCATCTAACTCACCCAGCTAACTGGAAGAGACAGAGCCAGCCCACCTTATGGAGGCCAGGAGCCACAGAATGCATCCAACAACCATGCAGCACCAGTGCTAAACCGGGACCTTTCCTGAACTTCTCCACCCACCAGCATGCACATCTCCCTAACTCCCTTGGGAAGGGATGTTGATAAGATCCCCAAGGCAGCACTGCCCCTCTGGATAACTCTTGATTCTGATTAGTAAGAAATACACGGAAGACAAAGACCAGGAGGGATAATTTATAATCTTGGGAAAACTCTGGGTGTGAAACGAAAGGTGTTGATGTTGCGTGGAAATCATTCGTTGCATATTTCTGAGTTTTCTAGTTTATGACTTCAAAGCATAAATTTCTTTTTTTCCCCCAGAACACACAGAGTTGTGCAGAAGAGAAGGGAAATCAGCACTAATTGTCAGCAGGCTGGTGGTAAAGTTCACACTGGCCAATCAGTCTGTTCTCTTTCCCCGGGAGTGCTACCAGCCGTCCCCAAACCCAGGGGTGTCGCAAAGACTGGGATGCAGCACTCATCCTGCACACAGAGTTCAGGAAGTCACTTGGAAATGCTGACATCTCACAGACCTGCTACATCAGCTAAGATTAACAGAAACCTGCACTTTGGCACCACAAAGCTGTGACACATGGATGAAAAAGATGATACATGGCGTGCACAAAATCTGAAGAGCTGCCAAAGGAAAGTAGCCCTCCATCAACCAATTGAGCATCTATTTGTCATCACAGAACCAACACTCTTGATTTTCAACGTGCCAGTCTGCAAAGGTTTCTCCTCCAGCTACCCACCCTGATTTCTAAAGATTTCTGACATCGTACATCAACTAGGATTAACAGAAACCTGAACTTCAGCAGCACAAAGCTATGACACATGGATGAAAATCAGAATGGGTTGGGTTGGAAGGGACCTCAAAGATCATCCAGTTCCAGACCCCCTGCCATGGGCAGGGACACCCTCCACTACACCAGGTTGCCCAAAGCCTCATCCAACCTGGCCTGGAACACTTCCAGGGAGGGGGCAGCCACAGCTTCTCTGGGCAACCTGTGCCAGTGCCTCACCACCCTCAGAGGGAAGAATTTCTTCCTTATATCTCATCGAAATCTCCCCTCTTTCAGTTTAAAGCCATTGCCCCATGTCCTGGCACTACACACCCTTGTCCAAAGCCCCTCTCCAGCTTTCCTGTAGCCCCTTCAGCTACTGGAAGGCTGCTGGAAGAATGTTATTCCAGAGCTAGGACCAGAGAAGCAGCAACGGCCCAGACAATTTTTAGTCCCCAGGGGAGTGTACATGGGAGGGGGTGAAATGAGAATATGTGCTGGACACAGGCAACGGGCATCTTGGCTGGAATGGGCACCAGGGAATTCGCCAGCAACACGCCTGTTCCTGGCCACAGCACTGGTGGCTGCGAAGCATGGACTTGTCAGTGTCCTAACCAGCCTACCGACCCTCCTCGCAGG